GACAGAAACGCAAAGCCTCTTGCCAGGGCATCGCGTGCTTTTCTATCTGCTCTTGCTGAACTATTCAGACTTGATGAAACCAAGAAGAGAGAAAAAGGGGGACCATCTTAAGGGTCCATATTTTATGTATATGTGAAGTCCAGAAAGGCCTCACATCTGAATCTGGTTTGGAAAGAACCACTTTTGAGAAAACAGATGAAGAAGAATTTCAAGTGCTGAACGTGCCCACAGAGGTGTAAATAGAACAGTGTTGCCTTCTCACAAAACACTAATTAAGAGCAAAATATTACTGAAGCGTCTGGGCAAGCTATCCAGGTGCAATGAGAAGTGAAGCCTCCACACAGGAGGCACCAGGAAAGCAGACTCCTCCGTGTCCTCGAGTCAGCTATCACTCCCATGTGTCCTGAAGTAATGGAGACTTCAGCCTTAGCTGTGAATTTCATACTGTGTTGCAAAAAATTCCTAAAAACAGTATCTAAGCTGTGCTTGAAGGCTGTCGGCCTGTTTGACTCCTCCAGGCACTGACCCTAAAGTCTTCATTGACAGCAGAAGCAATGTCAGTGTCCAACTCTACCCAACACTCATGAACATCGGTGCCAGGTAGCAGTAACCAACTGTGAGAGCAGGAACCATCATGTCCAAAGGATCTTTGGCCTTTCTACTGAAACTCCTAACAGGCCTGGCAATTAGTCCTATTTTCAGGAGAAAAAATTAGGAACTGACTTCAGAACAGCAAGTCATTTCATCTGAGGCACGGGGGAGCCATTGGATAGTCGTTTTGTCAGGGATATCCCTGAAACAATTGCTGAGAAAAATAGAGAGTTCTACAATAAAATATCAGTCCTTTGAGGCCTCCTTTGTCCTCTTAGCTTTAGTTAACAGTGATTAACTACATTGGTAATGGTGTGATATAAGCCATCTTCAATTTCCCACAAAAGGGAGAAGGACCTAATGCAAGATCTTGCTAAATGTTACCTGCCTCAATATTTTATCCTATAAAGTCTTGTCACGTCAGATCAATTTTGAGGAAACCTTCTGAAATTTCAGGTTTTCAGTCAAGTGTACTAGTGGGTCAGCTGTGTTTGTCAATGATCAAACACATACTTTGCAAGTTATTTTACAGAAGCCTCTTAACACAGATATCTGCTATCAATTAAAAGAAACCACCAGAAATTCAAGAGCAATTTATATTTCTAAATGTCTAGAAACGCGTTCTGCTTCTACTGAAGTTTAAATACAGCCAAGTTTACATAAGAATTACTAATTGGTTGTAAAGGTCATGCCTTTTGAATATATGCATATTGGAGGTCTGAAACCTATTAGACTGTGGTATTATGCTTAGGCTCAGTGCTGAATTTGGATTAAATGGTGTTATATTGATTTGATGAGCTGCTCAGATATGCTGAAGCTTTAATTGAATGTATTAGAAGATGTGAATTCTAACAGATACACCCTTAAAAGTAGCAGCTTAGTGATTTGAAATTGCTTTCTAGTACAGGGCTTTGCTGGTTTTCAAGAAAGAGAAAGAGGTATTTTGGAGTCCTTAATCTGAGACTGTATGTTAATAAATATCTAAGGAGAGGTTCTTTCTTTTCCTTTTCCATATGGATGAATGCCCTTTGAAAGCCAAAAGGGAATTGATGTAACCTATTGATCGCCATTTAAATGCCTTTATAAGCTAATTAGTGCAAAATGTAAAATGTTTCTGAGCAGAAACAAGCAACAACCATGAAAACACAGGAAGGCTCATTTGGTTCTTAGATATACTGGGGGGACAAATGCCCTGATGCAAAGAGTCACCAACAAGCGATGAGCGTGAACAGTGCTTATTGTGAAACTGTTATAAAAAATAGGCTCTCTTCTTGTAACTTGACAGCAATATCATGACGACAGCAGTCATCGTGCACGCTTGAAACAGCAATGGTGTATCTAGCTTTAATCTACATAGCTGGGATAGTGCCTATCTGGGAGACACTGCAATGTTTAGGGAAACAGCCAACACTATAAAATAGGTCACTAGCTGGAGTCTGCCCGGGTCCGAAGTGGCTGAAAGTCATTACCATCTGTTCATCTGAAATGAGGTGCTGGTTTCGTTCCAGTTCCTACCAGATAGGTATGCACACTGTAAAAGAAACCTTCAAAAGTGTTCCTAGTTGGAAATGGGGTTGGCAGAAAGGAGCCATGGACTGAAGGCTCTAAAGGAGCTCCTTCTAGCACACACAGACAAGATGGTGGGTATCTGAAGCTCATTTATGTGTCATCCCTCTATGACGCATTAGGAGGCAATTTTTCCTTGCTGTTGTCAGTCTGGCACCTTTCACTGGCCAACAGCAGCCATTAAGATCAATATCTGACTAATACCTTTGTTTGAGAAATGTTTTAGCTTTACAGCTTTAGGAAGAGATATACCCATACAAGCTCCTTTATGGGATCTTGGAGAGACTGTCCTGTGCCTCCTGTGTGAAGTCATGGCCCAGCTACAAAGCCAAGTTACTGTTCTTGGTGTCTCTACACATGTGCTGACCTCCTGCTCACAGCCAGGTAACTTCTCCCATCTCTAGGGAAGATTTAGCTACCTCTCAGATGCCACAGCCAGTGTGTGCGTACATGCGCATGGGCAACCAGTGTAAGGAAGGATCGCACTAACTTGCTCATGCAGCCATCCCCTCAGTTAGAAGGTTCCTTTCTCACTGGGTAGATGATCCTGGCCCACTCAGCCAACTGCTGCTTAAATTGGTTAAATGCTGGTGGGGAATGAGCAGAGGAGGATATTCACCTCACAGAGGGAATAAGCATTACACTGTACCCAGGAGAACTCACGGCTTTTTCTGACTCAGACCACTATCACTCCCACTGATGCTCTAGTAGCAGTGAGAAAAGCATTTACAGGGGGAAAAGTATCCCAAACCACAGAGCAGGCATGGTCTATGCAGCAGGCGATCAGAAACCCAGTGTCCTCTAAGAGTTATTTCAAGTTTCAGCCATCATTACCATCTTATTAAGTAGCTAATACTGTACAACAAAGTATTTATGTGAACATATGCATTTAATTTAAGGCAAAGCTTTTGCCCTTCTCAAATCAGCTGAAGACGACTCTAATTACAACAGTTTCACGGCTGCATCGCTCTATTCAAATTAATTACTCCGCAAAAGTTAATACAACTGAAGTTATGTTGTGTGTCTTGAAAACGCCGAGGAGAGAGAAGCACCACTTAGGGCCCATTCTCCTTCCCACTTGGCCCGTCCGGATCACCCGGAGCAGGCGCTACGCCCGCTGCACCACCGCCGGGCTCTGCCCTCCTCCCTCCCCACCAGGCTCCTCTCCCCGCCTGACGGAGCCGGCGGCTCCTGACAGATCCTCCTCACTCACAGCCCCGCTTTCTCCAGCACCAGGAGAGAGTCACAGCTCATCTCAAGACTATTAACAGCACAACAAAGTATTCATACATTTACTAGACTTTGTATCCTTTCACAGAAACGCTCATTCCTTTGATCTCTTGGCGAGAAGGGATTTCCTTTTTATGTCAAACTATTAAGGAAATGAAGAAACACCCCCATACAATCCCTCTTTCTGTATGAATGGTAATGAGATACTCAAAAGAAGATTTTTTTCCCCCCAAGAACAGTATAGTGACTGTAAACAGCACCGATATTTCTAAACAAGTTGTGCTACTACTTCTGACAGGTCCACTCAACTGATTTTTGCTGTGCAGATAATGCTGCCTCAGGCTGATAATTAAGCAGAATACAAATTTTTACACACTCATGTCACCCTTACAAGGTCAGCGTTTATCTTACAGGATTTTAATAAAAACAGAAGTCGTTGTGACGTACCAGCCGCCACAGTTAATTAAGAACTACTGAGTTCCTATTTTTATATAAAGACATTACATGTAAGTAAGGCAGAGTACAAAAGCTTCATAAAATACCTTTGCATTCACTTCCAGCTTTACATCAGATTTATACAACACATGTAAGTGTGTGTGTGGTTGTGTATTGGAATTTTAAGCAAATTCAAGGAGCCATCAGTATTTAATCAGGCTACAGCAGCAAGGTTTTTTTTGTCTCCCTCCTCCCTCACACTTGCACCTGGCCAGTATGTGTGACAGGCAATAATTAGTCCTGCGGCACTGACCACTTTTCTGTACAAAAAAATGTTCATTTGAATGGCATCTGATTGGCACTGCTGAGAGAGAACCAAGAGCTCCCTGAAAGGGCTGACCATTTCAGCTCGCCCTTGGAAAGGCCAAAAATAAGAGCTTTTCAGGTTGCAACATTTTTAGATACATAAAAGTGGTCTGAGGTCATACTTAGAGTTTTTAATGACCCTCATCAAACCCTCTGCAGTTCAGCTTGTGGCCTGGCAAGTGGAGAAAGAAAGAATGATCTTAAATAAAAGTGTATACTCCCCTCACCCCCAAATACTGCAAACCCAGCATTTCCCTAACCAAGGCGAATACACACCGGTGTTCTGGGGTACAAACGTTTCACCCCTGACTGCTTGATACAGGCACAGCCAGAGGCTGGCGAGCAATGAAGACACAGCAACAACAATTGCAGCAATCAATGCACCATATAGAAACGAACAGCAACACATGCCTCCCATCCCCCTTCTCATTCTGGCAAGTGAACGCCGATGTCGGCTGGCATTAACGGCTGCCAGCTGGGCAAACAGAGCAAGTAGGTCAAGAGCATCACTCCTCCAAGAGTTTTCTTTGCTAAATATTGTGCTAACGACTGCATTATTGCTCATCAGACTGAGGTTCTGAAACTGGTGTTAAAAAAACCCTTCCCGTGATAGCAGAGGTCAGGTTTTCCATCTTGAGATGTTTCAGGTTGAGCACACCCACCCATTTTTGATAAAATGTCTTTTGATACTAAAATCTGCACTCAGGCCTGTCCTGATGGCACAAAGCAGCTTTCACCAGAACAGCTATTACAGTTGGGTAGAAACAAACAACTGAAAACCATGTATCAGGCACTTACAGTTTAGAAAAGCTCTAATGGAGATTTAACAGACTTACTCTAAAGAATTCTTTGGTTGAGCCTGAATCCAAAGTGCCATAGGCTATTTCGGTTTGTTTAGCCAGGTCCTCTGCGCTCTCTATGGGAGAAACCATCCTTTCCACCGTAAGGAAGGCAGCAAGATTAGCAGTGTAGGAAGAGATAATGATGAGAGTGAAGAACCACCAGACTCCTCCGACAATTCGCCCTGAGAGAGATCTATGGAAAAACACAGATCATCAAATTGCTTTGAAGACACTCCTTGATTTTTTTTTTTTTTTTTCATTGAAGAGAAATTCACATGCACGACCCTTTTGTTCAGATCCTCTCGGTATCGGTAAACGGGCGGACTGCGAGCCAGTTCCCGATAGCCTTCCTCAGGAGAGCAAACTCGGTGTGCACCTGGTCTTACCTAGCTAAACTCTCTCTCCAGTCTTTCAAAACCAAGGACAGTCAATTAAGAAACAATTCATCTGAGCCAACCCCATCGGAGGCTGGGAGAGGAACAAGCTCTCCTGACTTCCACGGACCCTTTGCTGGAGAAGTCTTTTGCCAGAAGACACTTGTCTTCTCTGCTTGCCCAGCCTTTCCCCCGGGGCTGGATTTGCCTGCTGCGATGCGCCAGCATCGTGTCCCTTTGGGGGCTGCCCCGCTTGGAGGACACGAATGTACCTTTTACCGCATCGACTCTCAAAATGCAACATGTAGTAAAGTGCAAAAAGGCATCTGAGTAAATGTGCAAAGGAATAAAACAAAAATGATCCAGTATCCTTCTCCCATCACAACCAGCAGGAATTACAGACTGAATCTGCATATTGAAGTGAGGAGAGAGGCTCATTTGTTTTATGTTTTATGTCAATTAAAATTTGCGTATTCCTGCTTTATAGCCACCAGAGCAACAGAGAAGGAAGCAGAAAAAAATTTGTGTTTTTTGGTTTTTGTTTTTTAAAAGGATACCACAAGGACTAAAAAAAAGCCTATTTGTAAACATATAATTACAAAATGCCTAGCGGTCAGGAGGTCTAGAGCCTGTCAGTAAGAGCTCTTGATGCTTTAAAGCAATTGAACGTCAGGCTCAGAATATTTGTTCGGGGCTGAAGGATGCCAGTGCCATGCCGCTCAGCTGGGTGGGGAATTTTACCGCCATGTACAGTGCTCATTCAAACACAGCATGTCGACCAGGAATCATTTCAGGAGCTGAGGCAAAGCTATTTCACATGTTTTCCCTTAACTCTACTGATACCAGTGGAGGAAGAATCAATCCCAGATACATTAAATCCGTGGAACCTGGGTGCTGTAGTCCTCAGTTTGTGTGAAGGGAAGAAATAGAAAGCAAGAAAACTCTTACCTGTTTATTTGTTTCCTTCAAGCCCCTCAGTGCCATCCCAAGACAGTGGGTACAAGTTGTCCTACCAACAGATGGAGACAGGAAAAAAGCAAAAGTCTCGTGACGTGCCCCCACCCCACCCACACAGGGGGGTTTGCTGGTAAACTGCCTAGTCTTGGCCAGAGCCTGAGATTGCCTGAGCCATTAAAAAAATCCCATTAAATTATTAAGAAAAAAAGAAAGGGAAAAAAAAAAATCCGTCCAACATTAAAGAACACACCAGAGAAAAAAAATCGCCAACACAATAAAAACAGAGAGAGCAATCTGAAATAGGTTAGAGGAATGTGGAGAAGCAAACTAAGAGGTGAAGCACTGCTATTCTCCACTCTCCTCTGCCCAAGAAACTGAAGCAGCAGCTCCCACTGAGAGGGCAGACGCAGGCTGGTTCCTATGGATTACCGCGTGCACCACCTGCCAGCGGTTAGCACCCCAAGGACTGCTGCGTCAAGTCCATACCAATGTGCAAGGCGGTTCAGGTGGTTACAAAGCTTAGGGAAGCTTGAGCAGTGATGCATCACCTCGCTGTCCATCAGGAAGCAACGACTTTCGAGGTGTGAACTCTGAGAGACATCGCCATCGCTCTGGCCTGCCCGCGCTTCCTCAGGGCAGGCACACACCCGCCAGACAAGCGCAGGAGGCTTCCCCGCCTTTCTTGAGGGCTTCCCAAGAGGATAAAAGGCTTCCAAGTTTCAACCTGGGCTGTGCCGCAGCTGTGCTCACTAACAGAAGGCTACTGAGTAGCTGCAAAGGTAAGCTGCAGAAATGTAAATCCAGAATCACGTAGCAACTCAAGGAATCTCTCTATCTCGCTCTACATTCTTTGTAGGTATCAGGTGAGTATCTTGGGATTTTACAGATGGCTGAAGCCCTTTCTGGCCAGCTCCCTTACCAGTCAGGGTCTTGGCTTTAGCTGCTTTGTAAAGCTCGATACCCTTCACACCGAATCAGCCTCTTACGTGGGCTGACGTCATTTTAGCCGACTCCAAAGCAGTGCCTGCTTAACTCGTCATGTAAGGCTCCCTTTGGAGCCAGCGGAGAGGAAGAGAGGAGACGGACACCCTCAGAAAGAGATTTATCTCACTTGCTGTAGTGTGGGGTAAGTCTGAAGGTGCCCATCTGTCTCGTGACTTTGGAGGGAACCGAGATGCCTAACTAAAACACAGCCTATTGCTTTTAGATGGCTACGTCAGGTGAAATTCATCTCCCTTCTGTTCATTGCTTCACTACATACTTTCCACCTTCAGAGAAGACCTGGAGTTGAATTCCTCCTCCCTGCAGTGAGGTGTTCGGTTTTAGAGGCAGACTGAGCAGGAGTCTGGCTAGCAGGTACAGCAGATGAAACATACGCTTGCGTTCAGCAAGACTGGCTTTATCTGGGGTTTCCAGGTTCCCCTCTTGATTTACAGTAGGTCTTGAAACAGGAAGATGAAAAAAAGACTTGCCAGGGTGCTTAGATAAATTCAATGGAACTATTGGGAACAAAACAGTACGTGTTCATTCTCCCTGTAGTTTCCCACAGGAAAAGTCTTGCATTGGTAGCTGCCCCTTCTGTCAGCAGGACAGATGGGTTGCTGGGATGAAGATGTGCAGAAGACAAGGCATTTTCCAAACCAGTGAAACCTCAAGCTCATACTGCTGTAACAATAAAAAGTCTGTGTCGAGCTGCATGCTCATACAGCATATTACCCACAGAGAAAGGTAAAAATATCTTGCCCCAGAGATCTTGCAACCTGCATGAACCAAGTCAGACAGATACAGGACTGTAAAATGGAGAACAGCTGAGAGGCAGGGGAAGGTGGGCATGGCTGGATCCCTTGACGAAGGAGGCACTTCCCCGAGGGTCCTATGTGCAAGAGAGGGGTCTTGCTAGATGAGGACCAGAGCTGTTCTCAGAAGAGTTGAGGTCACTTGAAAGAAAACTGGATGTCACTACAGAGTTGTTTCTCCCAGAGTCTTCCAATGAGCACGAAAAGGAAGATTAAACTGCTGCTACTACAAAGCAGTCTGGGCTGACATAGCTGTAATTGGTGGTAGCGCAGGATGGGGCAAACGAAAACCAAAACAAACCACAAAGCTGACACTGAAGGAAAGACAGACAGACAGAGAGAGTCGAAGAACAAGAACACAGACAAGCATGGCCTGGCAGCCTCCTTGTCCAAAGGACCCCAGTTCCCCCAGTCCATCTGCTGATATGAAGACTCCTTATACCCACTGCAGGGGCTGGTGTAGAGGGATGTGGGAGAAAAAGGGTTAGTACATAAACAGCGGGCTGGCAATAACAGAGTATTTGTATGGTTTGTACAAACACAGAAATGTTTGTCCATTACTCAGATAATATTATAGAAAAATCAATCACAGCTTTTAACACCAGCACCACTTCTTCTGATGAAGACATACCTGTCCAAGTGTGCAGTGTTGTAATTTAAAAACAAACAACTAATGCTTTATCCCAACATGTCATTTTCCAAATTACCTCAATAAATAGATACTTTGCATGACATTATTTTAAAGTGAATTAGTGTGTTAACAAATGAGAGGAGTAACAAAGACCTGGGATAACCGAATTATAACTCAATTATCAAAACAAGGTCAGACGGTGTTTTCAAAAGGAAGTAAACAGGAAGAGTGCATACCTTGAGAGGATATTTAAAAGGAAGCATGGAGTCAAATGAGAGCAAATTAGTAACAAGCAAAAAACAAAATAAATATTCAAATTCACATTCAGTTTCCAGGAGAGTAATACAAAAGTCAAACAAAACCTCATTTATTTATCAAAATAGCTTGAATTTTGTTTCTACTCATGGCCATAAAACATACCTGAATTCCTATAGTACACAGAAATAATAAGCTTCTCACACTACTCAATTTTTAATGGGGCTCTTCTGATCGATACAAGACGGCTATCGTATTGACAAATAACCCTGAACAACTTTGGTGCAAACTCTCCTTGTCTAGAACCCCCTCACATTCGGAGCAGGCGTTACCTGGCACCCAGCAAGCTGCGAGCTCGGTCCCTTGCTCGCAGGCCCAGCCAGCCCTCTACCTCTGCCGGCCTCATGCGGCCAGGCGGCCCTCGCCTCAGCGACCGAGGCAGAACACAATAAATAACAGCATCTGAAGCGCTGGCTTGAGATGCTTCCATCACAGGAACTGGCAGTGGGAGTTTCAGAAACGCCTAGTTACCCAGCTCTCGTTGCTATTTTGAAAGTCCCACAAAGTCATTCCCATGGCCTTTAATAGGAGTCTCTTGAGTCTTCTGCTGCGAAAATAGGGATCTAGAAATACACCCTCTTAAATGACCAACCTCATGAGATCATTTTTAATGAACCCCCTGTCTTTTTCCATCAGCAATTAATTAATCTAGCCTCTTTGTTCCACATGAATAAAGAGCAAAATGAAAATACATGCTCTCATAGAGATTTCAAAGATACTTTCGCTCAGAACAATGTTACAAATTTGACTGTGTTTTCTCCTGATTCCATTTGCTGTTCACATCTTACATTAAAGCAAGTTTAATAATCTACTTTTGATCCATCAACTGTGCATTTTCAATGCTTTAGCTCACTATGCAGAAAACACAGCAGCCTTTGATAGCAGAACAAAACTGCTGGAACAAATGTTGATTCCATCAAGGGATGCACTAACCCCCATCCTTTGGCTGCTAGCTGATTCCGTTTAGACGACTCCTATTAAATACAGAGAGGAGAGTATAGGGATATATCCTCTGGAATATCCACACAGCATACTCACCGAGGATAGATCTAACTAGTCATTAGATGTCACAGCTGTTCCACACAAAGGCAGCTGAAAGAGCCTTTATCAGCAAGTACAAAAGTGATCTCTCCAGACTGCTTGTCGGCATCTCTCTACAAGTGCTGTACGCTCTCATATAAGAAATTTATTCAGACAAAACTCACAATGGAAGAATGAAGCCCCTTTTAATGGCAATAAAATAGTATGAAACATTCATATAGTCAATGTACCTTACAAAGATACCGATTAGGAATGGAATACTTGGGAATAGTCCCTTCTACGAAAAAGAAATTTGACATTTAATCAACTTAAATCAACATATTGGTCAAAGGAACAACGTTTCTGGAATTTAAACCAAGGTATTAAGTTTCTCTTTTTTTCAGTAACAATGCACGTAACTGCCTGGGATCTGTTATCATGAAAGATAACAAAATAACTGGACAACGCCTTCAAACGAAGGCCATGTATTAATACTGAGCTAATAGCTTCTGATGGACTGATAAAAAAAATAGGTTTACTGCTGTCTCTTTTTTTTGTAGGTATTTCCAAGGCACTTATCATGGTAGTATTGAAAAAAAATAGAATATGTTCCACTCGTTATATAAGGTAAATGGCTGAACATGTCAGAGAGTCACATGAGAGCTTAACAAAAATCCTATGCACTTCTATTTAACTGTCAATAAACAGACCTAGCGGAAACAGTGCAATGCCTGCAGCTTTCCATGTGATGTCCCAGTGCTTATTTCCCGGTCCTTTATATTGGCCACACACACGGTCAACAGCAATTTAAATACTAACACTACTCATAACCTTTAACAGCAAGCAGAGAGGCAAAGTTTCAATACAGAATTTAGGCATAAAGCAGAAACACAGTGTATAAACAGGAGGAGGAGGCTAACAGCTGTAACTATACAGAGAGGCAGCACACCCAAACACTAATAACTGCGAAAACTAATGCATGGTCATATCCAGGCAAAAATGTGTGCGTTGTTTTACGTAGGATGTATATGCATCTGTCAGTAAGTATGAAATCTAATTGCTGCTATCAAGACTTTCAAAACATCTGCATGACTTGCATCAAATATCAGCAGGCATATGCCAGTATCTCTGCAACTCCTGGATTTCTCTGCGATCATTAGGAGATTTAATGTGCCATGCCTTTGAACTTAAAGGATCATTATTACATTGTAACAGGTAAAATCATGATCCTTTCCATGAAACTTCATAGAAGTTTTGTCACTTGGTTCAGTGAGGCTACTCAAGACCCTACCACTATACGGACCAGGAAAACCTGGTAACTTTTCAATGATTCAGGTATTGAAAAAGGTACACAAATACGAAGATCGACAAGGTGTATTTTGAATGTAAGTGCTTAGTTAGAAAAGATCCGTCTCTCTTGCTTTAATTAGCAACCTTGTTAAAGGGAAAAACTGCATCCTGTTTGTACTAAGCAGGTATTTTTAATAATTAAAATAGCTCTAAACTGGTTATTAAAATATTGTCATACAAAATATAAATAGTGCTCCGTCACTAAGAAACTAGATAATTTTACTGCTTATCACAGGCACATCACCAAAGTATTTTACCAGTGTAAATGTAGAAACATTATATCTATTATTCAAAAAACATTTGTGGTATGCACTGTTCAATTAGAGAGAACTTCACTATTCTCAGGTGGTTTTCAAAATGCTTTTTTAAAAAAGAAATATAATTATACATTAGTTAATACCAGTGCTCTCTGATAAATTGGAATTAATATCAAACATGTTTTACTACAGCCTTATTCAGAAAGACTGTCTTCATGAATAAGAAAAATCTTTATGGAAACTGGCAATGCTTATTAGACCGTATTGGCTATGAACACAGGGACAACAGATTAGACTGGATTGAAATAACGATACACATACAGGGTAGTACGCAGTAACTGTTAGAGGGGCACATACGGAGACCTGAACATACGAAAGATGGTGGTAAGCAAATTAGTAATAGACGAAAGGATGGTTCAAGAAGAACAAAACTAGAGAAATTAGGCACAAAAGAAAGCAAAATGACAAGCAGAAGCCATGACGGGAGTGGAGGTGTTTTAAAGTGCTGTTGCATGTGACTTTTTTAAATAAACAATTCTTATTTTGCAAAGCAGAATATGTTATACGCACCAAGGAGATGACCGTAAAATGAGATATGCAGCAAAAACACGGTAGCCCTCCAAGCATTGCTGAAAACATAAAACCCTATGCATTTTACAGCCTCAACATGGTGTATATAAGTTCGGCAGAAATGCATAAATGGCATTATAAGGCAATGCCACTCACTCTGGAGGTGAATGTTAGCAAGCATGGTGGCTTGATGATGATTGATGGCATTGAATGGAATGTCAAAATAAAAAATTTGGAATTAAAAAGAAATTTGAAAAAGTAACATATATGCACCATGGCATCAGAAAATGACCATAAAATGCAAAAAGGTGATGGAGTGATATGGAACAAACCTTGGAGAAATATCGCATCCTTGCTGCATAAAGGCACCCAGGGAAAACCAAAGGCTGTTAAATATTCCAAACTCATTTGGAGGGTCGGGAGGATTCTGAGGGTCACGTGGTTCTTCACTGCTGTCTTCCAAGTGCCATTCGTAAGGGCTGAATCTGCTGACTAGGAAAAGAACTACGCTGACGCCAATGTAAGCAAAGACTATACACATCCAAATTTCATAAGCCAAAGGATCCAGGAAAGAGAATACGCCCGGTTTAGATTTCTGAGGCTTCTTGATCATGATGGAGATGCCCAGGCTCATGAAGGGTTTGGAAAAGTCTATGACTTCTTCTCGCACCAATGTTATGGTGAGGGGGGCAACAGCTATATCTGCTCTCTGAAAAGGGAAAACAAACCCAAGTTAGTTACAAAACAGCTGCAACATAATCACAATCTAGAGTCTCAGGCTAATGAATCAGATGATAAATTACGAGAGTGAGTAGGAAACATTTTCTTTGCAGCCTGTTTTGCAGTCACTGAAGTTAAGGACTAGATGATATTGATAGAAAATTATTAACAAGAAAAATTACAGTCAAATCTGTGCAAGGGCCTCACGACAGAGGCAGATATGTACCACCATGTATTTATGTCTCTATTAAGTTAAAATGGATGAATAAACACTACGCAAACTGGACAGTGAGATGGCAACTAAAACGATGTCATTGTCTAGTAATGGTCTGTATCCATCCACCTGTCTTTAAGACTTTGGGCAAATTATGTGTTTGTTATATTTTAATTTTCTCTTTTCCATTCTTTTAGCAAGTTCTCTTGCCTTACTGCTAAGTCCAGGATCTTTAAAAGGAACCTAAGACCAGTAATCAGTCACTGAATTTGAGCTGCATTTGGGCGCTACAACTCGTATACTCCTTTGAAACCCCGTTGCAATAAGGGATGGAAGATGGTAAGTGGGCTGATAGGAACCAGCCAGCCCACCCTTTCTGTGGTCACTGAAGAACAGTAATACAGATTTGTGAGTCCCTGAGACGTAAATAGCCTGGGCTACCTGAGAAGGATGCAAAGTAGTATTTTTCAGTATAATGTATGCCATCCTATTTTACAGAACTTAGCTGTATAGACCTACAACATAGACCATGCTCTGGGGCTGTGTCATCTGGAAGCACAATCTCATCTCATCGCATCTGTCATTCACCTGCGTGTTGGTATACCCTGAACCGATACCCTTCCCTTCAATCAATACATCTTTGCTGGATTCCATGGGAGCGTAAGAATGTGAAGTAAAAAAAATTACTTAGCTACCTGATTAAAAATAACATTCCATTTGCAACGTATTTAATTGTATCTGTATTTCTATGCCAGAAACATTCAAGTCACGCTGTTTAGATAACCTAGCCTTGATTCAGCCATGGACTCAAGCAGATGTCACAGCATTTGCAATGGAGGGGACCAGAATGTTAAAAAACAAAGCCGTTTTCATGTAAAAATTATTGTTATTAGAGTCTACATACCTACACACACTTTTTTGTAATCTTCTATTTTAAACACTCTAACTATCCATGTTATTGATACTTTTAAAGATGGCCTTTTGTTGGTAATTAAGAATTTCAGAAAGAAAAAATGATTCTTAGGGAACATCTAACTTATCAGTACCTAAACCACTGTGCACCTTTTAAATCAGATTTTTGTTTCCCACTAGTAAGTATGTATCTCTTTCTGGTGGAAAAAATAAAACCTGATTAAGTAGAAGTTTGAATAAAATTTAATAGGAAATGTTAATAAGAAGTGATTAAAATCTGTGCCATAAAATAATTGAATATGCCTTTATGTAAATCTGATGGTGATGTACGTGACTTTCATTAATATCTGATTTGTTCCTCCTCCTAGATAGTTGGTTTGTTTTTTTTTTTTAAAGTTTAATAAGCAGAAATGGCGAAGGCTTCTCATAAGGTTAATCTCAGTATCACACGCTCTGTGCCAGTGCACTGTGCAGCCATGCCCGAGGCACTTTCTCCAGACTTGTCGGACTGAGGACTGGCCCTCTACGGCCCTTCCCACAGCCTCCCGCCGGGAAGTGCCCGGCTGCACGCACGACCTCCAGATTTGCTCCAGTCACTCGTGAATCTCTCTCAACAGCTTGTACTGGCATGTGCAACTACAAGGTATGTGTACAAGTTCACTGCTTGGAATAATCAGATAAACCATGCCTGTGCACGTAAGGAAGCCATCCGGAAACCACGGCTCTTGGTGTACCCTCTCACAGCCCTCCTCAGCCTTCTAGACATTCACGCGTACTAGGATGTTGCCTTTCCCCTTGAGCGACCGCTTTCCTCGAGGAGAAAACCGTCACCTGATTTGTGGTCACTTACTGCAAAAATCTAGCTTAACGTGGCTGGAATATAAAAACTGAAAATGCCAGCTGCCTTTGGATGCCTGGGTGTTTACTGGCTTTGCAGATGAATGTGTTAACCACCTAAGTAATAGAGAGACTTGGGGGGACATGGGTAGAGTGTGGTAAAGGGACCACATGATGCTGGAACTTGCTCACTGATGAATTCCCCCAAAACATATATTTGTCTTGTAGCTGCTGCTTGTTGAGCTACTGTGAAATATTAGATGTCTGCAATCAGTAAGTATGAGATGCACATAGAATATCAGTTTTAAATGTAGTCAGAGTCCATGGCTGGCTGGAAGACTAAGCACTTTGACCATGGCTACTGTATTTCATGTTGAACTAATGAGGTACTTACAAATTAATCCTTATTAGAGAAAGCTTAACGGATCAGGACCCCTGCAGAGACTTAGCAATGATTCCACGCGAAGCGAAGCTCAGGTGGGAGGCAGGGGCCCTACTGCCTGGCACTTCTGCGCATGGGCGGCCAGCCTTGGAACAGTTCATCAAGGTAGGAAAAGGCTGGTTCAGCTATAAGAGCGTTTAGTTTCTGTAGCATTTTCCTGGACTTGGAGAAATTTAATTCTCCCAAAGTAATATTTTAATTGCCAAAGTAGACACGGTGGAGCTCTTCCTAAGTGCTGACGCAGCATGCAATAAAGTCTGTATCTCCTTCATGAGCAGTTGAGTTCATGCAGGATGTTCCTGTGGGGTCTTTGGGAGGATGAAGCTGATGCTGTGCTGAAGCACAGACAAATCAGTTTTTAAAGGCCCAATTGTTACCATGTCCGCATTCATATCGTACAGTACGGACTTCTTTGTAAATGATTTTAAATTGCATTTTAGTATCACAAGGGATACAAATATTTGGTTTTCTGATACATTTCTGTCTTCCTGCTTTCCTACCATCTCTGATAGGTGTTCAATATATTTGAAACACCAACAAACACCCTCATGCCTTAAATGAATGTGGCAGCAATTGTCTTCTGCAGAGGGAACAAGCATGGGTTCAGACACAGGGTCTCAGGAAACCAACAACCAGGGCACTGAGAGCGAACCAGCTACAATCCAGCACCCGAGCCTGGTTCCCCACCACTTCCCTGTATACTAGTTGCACTAGAGAGGTTGAAAAACAGACCGCTCTTTGCTTATTTATTTAGAGATATGGTATTTGAAATGGAGAGCTTATGGAGAGCTCTAAGCACCCTAAAGGATCATTAATAATTGCAGCACAGTTGTGAATTTGCCTCCCTGTTATGGCTGCAGATAAGCAGAACCCATAAAAATGGAGCTCGATTAAAAAAACCACAACCACAAACATGCCCTTCCCTGTGCAGAACTGGAGGGGGGTTTAAGAACCTCAACAACTAAGCTTTGCTAATCACTCATGACTAATGGCGTTTCAAACATCATCTTCACTGCATTTGAGCCGGGCGAGAAATGTCATGGATTCCTCTGAGGCTTGTTCTGTCTTTGCCTACGAGTGTGGGAGGGACGGATTTAGAGAGGACGTGCAGCACAGAGGCGCTACCCACTCCGTTCAAAGCTGACCCCAGGGGGCTGCAAACCTCAAGACTCTTGAGGGAGGGAGAAAAAATAGCAAATGGAAATATCCCTCTACATGGAGAAAGAAAAACGCTATGTTCCACCTCCGTAATCCAAAAGGAGGGATCGCATTCTTCAGCTTACAGACCTAAAGATGAGTCTTCCTAACTTCAAACCCATGCACTAGAGACAGCAAGAGATACTGGCTATGCTCCTGCCTGTGCTTCTGGTCATTCATGGTTGCAGAACTGAACAATTTCTTTGCTATTATGTCACTTTTCAAGAAGTGGGTCTGGGCTACAGCCACTTTGCAAGACCTCTCTGTGAAGGGAAGCCAGCCAGCACTCCGTGCAGACCGAAACAGAGGGACGCTGCCCGATTCCCGTTGCGAACCAAACCTCCAGGCACCCCAGAAGTGCTGAATGCAGGAACACAGCGGCGTCAGAAGAGACTGCGCTGGAATGACGACTGACTCTGAGCACCTTTTAGGACTTCTCAGTGCAGTCTGTTTCCAGATATCAGAAAGGTGTCAGACAGAGCAACACATCACCTGGTGAAAGCTGCCTTGTAAAGAGAGTCCAGTATACCCAAGGGTATCAGGGTGTGTTGAGAGGCCAGGTCATGGGGATAATGTGTTTTTAATACATTAGCTCACACTTATTTAAAAACAACAGTTGATATCTGACTAGCAACATGCTGCATTGAAGTCTTAATGTGTATTAGCTGAGCAGCATAAAAAGGTATTAAGGTGTTAAAACTGCAGTTGGCCTTGTCTGCTGTAGTTTGTCGATGTTAAGTCCATGCGTGCTATATGTGGATGCCCACAGTTCCTTCTGAGACACTACTACTGTATGCAGATGGAGAAATTAAGGGTATATTTGCTTTTTGAGCTGCGGACATACGTGTGCTTCCCCTGTCTGTGCTCGGAGCCAGGTCAGCCGAAGTCTGGGACCACGTCAGCGTGGCTGTGTGCCAGGGCTGCAGTCCCGTCCCCTCGCGCGGGGCGGTGACACCCCGGCTCAGCGGCTGCCTGGGCAGGGACCAGGCGTCTGTCCCTGCGTCTGCAGAGGGTCTGTCTGAGCCACAGGGCAGCGGCATCGCACGGCTGCCGTTGGGCACTTGTACCCGGGCTTCCCTCCTGCAGAAACCAGGGGTGAGGGGAGAAGGACGAGCTTCTCCTGCTCACAGCACAGTCAGGCTCTGCCACAGGCTAAGAGCACAGGGACGTTTTGAGGAGAATTAGGAATCAAATTAGTCTTCCTCTCCGCTACGATTCAAAGACTGTACATGCCATCTGTAGTCTTTCTTCTGCTGCTGGGCGAGCCAGAGGCCAGCGCCACGCAAGGCTGGTTAGTCTGTTAAAGGCAGGGAGATGTGTAGGTGGTCCCACTCTGACAGACTGTGGAGGCTGCTTGCATTTGGGGGACTGTCTGTCCTTTACATCCCTGCTTCCTTCCTTTATGCTGTTTTACATATTGAAAGGTTTTTATAATGACCTTTTTTTACCTGAGAAGAGTTTTAAAGGCTGTAAGGTCTGGCTGATCTTTCCACTCCCAAAGCATTTGTAGCTACAATTAAGATCTGTGTTAAACCTACTGTCAATTAGCCTCGGCGATGTGAAAAGCATCAGGCCCGGGGAGGGAAGCTTTCCCTGGCTGAACAGTGAAGGAAGAACAGCAGCCTGCTTTAAAAGGGAAAGAAGAAATAAAAGCCTACAGAAAGAGGCTTACCCTACAGAAGATAAAAGACGATTGTCTAGTGCTCAGCAGCTGGTGGGTACAAAGCCCTGAGCACCGGCCTCGCGGGGTGTGCGCAGTGGGACGTGCTGCTGCTCATCAGCCCGAGCTGAGGGCACATCGTTAGCGAGTGGATCACTGGAGGACAGCACTTGCCTTGCTGGTTTGCCTTGCTGGTTAGATTTAAACAGTGATTCAGTCTCCCAGACTGAAAATGATTTAGCTACTTCCTTCTTTCAAAATGTTCAGGAAAAAAGCTTTACCTATTTGCTATTTTTATTCTGTCAAAAGTTTCCACTACATTTTAGAAATTTCTCTTAGTTTAAAAAAATACTAGTGCTTGAATTGGTAGGTTTTTTTCTGGTAGGAAGAAGAGTCTTATTTTGATACCATCAGAGTGAAAGAGCAAAATTAAGGTTTTTCTTCAACCTGAACTGATGTTTCTGGATTTATGAAAAATCAAATAAATTTCATTTTTATGACAAATTTTATTATCATTATTAATTATTATTATTATTATTACTACTACTACCACCACCAACATTGGAAAATCGCTAACAAACCACAAGCCCCTGTTAGCTCTTCTCTAACAAGGCTTCTGGGTTCTCCCGTCTGAAGCAAAGGAGTTTGGGAATATCTGCTCGGCCACAACTCCCTGCCTCCAGGGCTGCCATCCCTATGTTGCCAGAGAGCAAGTCCTCCTCTGTAACCAGGTTCATTTGTACAGCCCATTGCAGAGCCACAAGGAAAGGTCCAAGAGGGCCAGCTGAGATTGTCCTCGACTTTGGGACACCCTACGGCACAGCAGACTTTTACACCCTCCAACCAGCCCTGATGTGGTACGAGAGAGGGGAGCAAGAATTTCTAATGGGAAGTATTTTAGTGTGTCTATCGCCAGGTAATGTGTAACTCTCGGGACCGTTCCAGTCAGCCTAGTTAATGCAGAGCTCCGGCTACTCTTACACCGGAGTCAGGGCTGCGCCGGTCAGCCTCAGGACCCGCAGTGCTGTGACACAGCACCGCTGCTGCTTCGGGTACAGCTCAGTGCACACTGACCCCCTCCCATCCCTCCCTCCTCCTCGCCATTCGGAGCCCAGTGCTTTGGAGGCTGCGAGGACCCAGCTGCACTTTCTCTCCTGACTCTACGCTGCATCCCACAGGAAGCAAGAGCGACAGTAACAACGAACTGGCACACACTAAACATTAATTACAGTTAATGAGGGTTTTGGCATTAAAATGACAAGCCATTCACTTCCTATGACTGTCCTAAGAGCAATTTCAGAAGAGAGTTGTGTGCATGGGGCTATGCAAAAAAGGGCACAGTACTCAAAAAGCCTGGTAAGACTTCCCAGCAGTGCCAGGTGGTGGTGAGAAGTCTGTTGGGTCAGGAATATGCTGTATTTGACAAATGACTAGTCACTGTTTATCACTTGAGACAAATGCAATCTAAAAGATTGCACAGCTCAGTTCAGCTGCTGGATAACTGGTACCAAAACCAATCAGGCCCCTTTTATCCCCCCATGCCTGTCTTCCATACATGCTAATAAAGGCATTTAAAATCTAATCTCCCTCTTGTCTTCCCAAAATGGAATCCAGAGGAGCCAAATATGACAATCCTTTTGCAAACCAGGCTCACAGGGGCATTAGGAGAAATTTTAGTTCCCTAATAGCGTTTTAAGCCCCTGAGAGATAAAGGAAAGTCAGCACGTAAACGAGGCGCTTGCTCCAAATAATTAGCACTTCTAGAGCACTTTTCATCTTCAAAGGGCTTTGTGCACATCCTTGTGAGTGTGGTGCACAGCCCCCTCTCAACAGATGGAGAAAGAGGCCAAGGGTATTTCATGATGCTTGCAAACAGGGCTGGGAAAGGGTCTGTAGGGCTGGTGAGGTTTGTACTCAGAGTTTGGGGGCTGTTTCGGGGGCTTACAGAAAGCCAGGTGGATTTCTGCACAGCTTGCCAGCACAGTAGTTCAGCTCGGCAGGATGGGGAGCTAGCTCAGCAGCGCTGGGCTGTAAGCATTAACCTGGGTTTACAGTCAAACCTCAAGGGACGCATCTGACCTTTGAATAATTGAGCACTGCAGTGAAGAGGCTTCAGTAACTGAGCTTGCAGTGTGAGAAGAGGAGCTGTTGGGGGTCAGGGAGGGAAACATTCCTCAATTTTTCATTAATGAGAAAACACGGATGAAAACCCTGCTTCAGCATACAAAGGAACAGACCTTTTTGCAGGGGAAAATTACAATGGCGGGGCGGGTTTGGGGTTGATTTAAGTTATGGTTTATGGTGCCTGTGAGGCTGGTTTTTGCTGGTTTGGAAAGGTCACAAGTATGGTCAGCTCACAGGGAAGTGGCTAGAGCTCAGTTTGATGCTAAGGAGGCAGAGCTCTCTGAGCTAGGCTCGTCCCAAGGGGTTGTGGAAAAGGCAGCTGCAGCCAACCTGTTTATCACAGAAACACAGAATGGTTTGGCAGAATCATGGAATGGTTTGAGTGGAAGGGACCTTTAAAGGTCATCTCGTCCAATCCCCCCTGCAAGCAGCAGGGACATCTTCAACTAGATCAGGTTGCTCAGAGCCCTGTCCAACCTGACCTTGAATGTTTCCAGTGATGAGGTGTCTACCACCTCTCTGGGAAACCTGTTCCAGTGATTCACCACCCTCATCGTAAAAAATTTCTTCCTTGTATCCAGTCTGAATCTACCCTCTTTTAGTTTAAAACCATTAGCCTTTGTCCTATCGCCAACAGGCCCTGCTAAAAAGTGAATAAACTGTTTCACTGCTTGTCAATAGCAAATATATCAAAAAGACCCAATTACAGCTAATATTCTTGATATTTCTTGAACCACACACAGGGAAACTGAGGGTTTAGGCTTCCATTGCAAGTAATTATGCTTGGAACTAAACTAAACCTTTGCTTCAGAGGTTCTCAATATATTTGTATTCTCTAAGAGAGGTAACACCGGTTTCCCAAATCGCATAACTGAGGCGTAGGGAGTTCAAAAGATTTGCATAATGTCAAACCTCAATGCAACAGGGAAGGGAAGATATGACCCAAGGGTCCAGACCCTTGTTTACTTTCTCCAATCAGTAAATTTCCCTCCCTCCCCTTAATACAATACTACAAAAACATTGTTGCTTAGATAAAATATTTTGAAGTCGAATAGGCTACCAAGTATATAATAAGGCATCAGGACTGACTGCTCCAGAATAAGAAAACTTCTGCAAATCTAGCAATTACTTTAAAAAGACTGACTCATTTGAAAAGAATTATCTCACCAAACATTTTGCAAGAATGATGATATGTTACCCCAAGGAAATTTTGAGGTGACTTTTAGAAATTACACTCAGCCATGGAACAAAAGGAGGCAATGGAAATATTCACTTCTGTTCAGATATTTTTAATAAAGGAAAGCTTGTTAAAAATAAACTGTAAAGAAGATTTGGGCGGAATCACAAATCATCTCATTAGCATTTGGGGGAAAAAAAGCAAAGATGAAACATCAGCTTGTAAAGTCTTTTCTGCAAAGCCAATTTTCTCCTCCTTCCATCTGGTTTATCTGTATTCCAAAATTCTCATTTTCAAAGAAGTTTCTAAAATGGCAATTCCAGACTGTTTTTGTTCTTACTAAACAAAGCAATGCACACCCAATATAGAAATATAAAGAGGAATGCAATAAATTAGACTTTTTTTTTTGTCTGACAGTTGATTTTTAAAGCCACACTCAGGGTTTAAAAAGGAAAAAGATGTGGGTGATTTCACACCTGCATTGCTTCTCACCTGAAAAGCAACCATGGGGCTAACTGAGTCTTTAGTCTCTGGTCAAACACAAACTGCTATCAGTGACCCAGTGAGGGCCAGCATCATAGGATCAGACCTTTAATGGGAGGGGCCCCCCCCCAGCACTTAGAAGACTGAGAGAGAAAAAGGAGACATGGCAAATGCAAAAGCAGCATATGAAGGGCAAACTGGAAATTCTGCTGTAGACATGAATTTGAAATTTGCGCAATGTCACTTCTCAACATTTTGCGGACTCCAATTTGGAGAACAGCAGTAAAAAAGTGACACTTTCCTGCAATGAAATGATTAGAAAAGTAGACTATAAAAATGGCACTACAAAGAAATATCTAGAATTTTAAAGGTGGTATTCAAACAGACGATCTTTATTTTGCAGTTTATTAACTTTGAGCATAACTTCTTATAAAGAACATTAAAATGAAGGTTAAGAGAAACTTACCCCATAGACCAGTTCACCCACCATGCCATTCCATATCTTAGTCTCAGGGTCCCTAGCTCCATATTTCCCATCTCCAACAATTGACAGTTTGTATTTTATTCCAACATGTTTTGCTATTTCAGAAGCTAAGTCTACACAATATCCTTCGTATCTCTCATTCCCTTCTAGTTGTTCATGGTTTTTCTTATACATTACATATGGTGATTCCTTTGAAATAAAAGTAAAGATCAAAAGAATGTAAAACATAGCTTTAAAACATGCAAAATGAGAGCTGTTATTATCCTTTACAATACTGGCAAGTACAGAAATTAGAAAGACAAACTTTTGCAGTTTAAAAATCCTTGGCTGATCCTACAGCCACACATATTATTGATTTTAATCCTAGTATGGACCCATTGAAGACAACAGGACTATTCCACTTTAACAAAGTAACACTTTTGCTTGTAGGATTAGGCCTGATTAGACAGTCAAATAGCATCACTGTAGTAATAATTCAGGTTTTAGTATTTAAAGAACTGACATACCCAACACCTGTACCATCAAAATAATTTCCTAAGGCCCCAGTGGCCTAGAATGGGGCTCTGATGGAGATATTTTCAAAGCAGCCTAAGGGAAGCTAGGCTAAAATCCTCAGCAGCAATATTTTGTCACTAAATTCCCTTAGCCTTCTTGGAAAATTCTAGCTGAAATGCTGATTATATCTTGCTAAATCCATAGGATTATAAAATACAATGCTTCAGGAAATAGCATAAATTTGTCTCATGCTTACTAGAATTGTAACAGGCATAAAAGTCACAAACAATACTGCACAGCGCACATCTGCTAGAGGCATTGGGGCTGACACAGGTGCTACTGTTTATGAGCACAGGAAGAGCTTTAGTCCTTTGGAATTGCATGGGTATAGGTCACTTTTCACCCAGTGCTAGAGCAGTTCCAGTTCTCTACAGGCTTCATTGTGCCACCCTTACTCAGTCCACAGGGGTTGAGTGTACAGGAGCTGCACCCGAGCGAGGGGTGCAAGATTTGACCCTACAGCAGGAAGGACAGATCCTGCAGGCATTTACATACATGCATAACAACTTCACTTATGGGAGGCGTTTGATTGAGTTCAAGTGTCTGAGAAGCAGCACAGCACAATGTTGAGCTCAATGAGCTCCTCCTGTGAGTGAACTTACTGATACACATAGAAGTTTGCAGGGTCAAGCCCTCAGTACATCTCTGGAAGGTACTGAACTTTTCAGTCACTTGAAGTCACATAGTATTCAACATTTGCCTCCTGGCAAAGTGTCTAACACACCTCAGGTGCCCTGTGTCTTGTTTCTTAAACACAAACAGACTAAGAACATAAAACTTACCAAGATGGTAGTGACTACTATAGTCCTGTTCTCCACAGATGAAGTGTCATTAGAGGGCAGCTGATCTAATGCTGGCACAAATCTTTCATATTCATTCCAATAACCAGCCTATAAAAATGGAGATTGTTACCTCATTACATACGTTTACAAGAACGCTGGTGCATGAACTTGTAACAGCAACTGTCAAAACATATGGCTTTGTAACACTTATTCATGCAACATTTTTGCCTTTAAAGGACTACACTAGCTTTAATTTAATTTCCTTAAAGAAAAAAGGTTCTCAAGCCCATGTGCAAATAAATGCAAGCCAAATCTAAGTGAAAATACGTATTAAATTCTCCCTATCTAAATTCACATCATCATGGTGCTTGTGGAATAAATTCCCATGTATCCACAGCATAAGAATATACTATAGACAAGAAAATAAACTGCACAGCACTCTGAGTAAAATACTTTGATTTTGAAATTTTTATCCACATTCTGCTGCAGTTCAGACAGTGAATACAGTCCCTGCAGACATGCCTGAGCTAGCTTTAGAGTAGATACACAGACGTTGTTAGCAATGCAGGCACAGCAGCATTATCTTCTGTACGGGATACAAAACCCTTGGTGAACACGAGGTGACTATTTGTCAGCTGGCTTGTGCTGACCTTCATGGTGCTGTGGCTACATCGCTATGCTATTACACTAGGTTTTGTATCTCTGCACAACACAGAAGTAACACTTTTGTATGCACTAGCTGAATGGCTGGGCCACGTCCAGAGATATTTTGTTATCAAATATGTGCAGAAGAGTTTAAGGAGTCTCAAGGGTGACTACGCAGGTGAGGTACCCATCGCCAGGTGAAATCAGGGGGATTTACGTGCCTCGGCCACACAGATTCTTATCTTGATACTCCTGAGACCCTATCTACCTACTTATTTTTGAAAATCTGCCCTAAATTTCTTTTATAACAGGGATCTAGGCAACTATTCCACTTAGGATCTATACTTTATTTAGAAGACAAGAGAATGAGTAGCAAATCCTAATTAAAACCAAACTTATTTTCTGTTAATTTCAGAAGCTTTCCAACTGGCTCCAGCTTCACTACGGCCCCAAGGCCTGTAATGGAGAGGAAGGGAGAGATAAAGAGGAATTTAGGAGATAGGGCTGTGCACAGGACCATGACACCAGGTATTATGCTTGGCAGTGGAAAAGCTCCAGAAGGGTTTTAAGGGAGAAAGTGGGGTCTGAAGTTGGCATGGAAACCAATGAAGATATTAAGCAGGGAGAGTGGTTTGGTCCAGGAACAGAATAGAACAAGGTTCCTGGGATAGGAAAGACAGCAAGAAGGAGGGGTTTCCTCAGGGCCCTGTTATTACAGCGCCTGTGTGGTATTTTTGAGTTTCATTCGTTCGTTGGAATAAATATTTGTGAAGATGTGAAATCTGGGTGCATATCTTGAAACTCACCTTCCGTGATCCAGCGGCTTTCATTTCATACACATCAATTGTGTAATTTGTTCTCCGCCCATAGGTGTCGAACTGGATGTTCCCTGTCATTCCCTGAACTTGCACCTTAAGGGAATTAAAAAAAAAAAAATTTAATGAAAGATTAACTTTATTTTTCCCTCCATTACATTTTGCAGGAACCCACTAGCTCTAGCACAATTTTTATCTATATAAGAGACCTGTAGCGCTTTTGACACAGCCAGTTACATTCTTCACAACAAAACCAATCCAAATTCTCTCAGTTTCAGCTGTACATTATTATTTGTTAGTTAGTACTCAGCTGGTGACTCACTATCGCAGAATGAGCTGCATTTAAGTATAAGTGAAATTAGCCCTGCACGTATGTTGAAAGACTGATTCTGCCATGCTTAGTCACGCTGGGTTCACTGATACAGCATGGAGAATCAGTGAGGCACATGTAACAATTCAGTGCCATTAAAACCCTCACAATATGGTACAGAGTGATTTGCGATACGGACCTGAATCCCATATCATTGCTCATTCCGGGAAGTGCTTTATTTTAAGATCAGTCCCAGTGTAGGAGGAAGGAATGAATGTCTTCTCTGAATGAGCACAGACAATTGTCTCTACTGCTTTGGAGTTTCGGTCTCAATCTGGATGGATGGGTGTATAGACGGTAAGTCGTTATCATTACCTACTCACATGAATCATCTTAAGAGGAAGTATAAAGTACTTTGTTTCAAAGAAAAAATCTTTCTTATTTCCCTGTATGAAAGGGTGAGATATTTCCATTTATCACTTATCAACACTGACAAGTGTCATCTCAGGCAGAAGGGGTAACAGTCTGAAACTTCAGTTGGGGTAAATTAGCTTTAATATTTAGCAAAATGTTGTGGAGGTTACAGGAATAGGTGACAGAAGAAGGGAAGAAGGGGAACTGTTCAGAGCTGGTGACTGATCTGCTATTTATGGTTTAGAGATGGTGCACAAGGCTGCATAAACCAGCCAAAATTCTTTGGACCCCAAATTATCCAGTGAGCCAAATTCAGACTGACATATAAGGAGTGTGATTTTTTTATCAGCAAGTGGATTTGACCCTTTCTTAAAATAGTTTATATCATTTCAGGGGTCTGGAAGAACACGTGAGTTATTCCTGTCTCCAGAAAGCTAGAGAGATGAATGGGACTTTGAAAGCCAAATTTGCCCCTAAGAGGTCTTATCAACTGTGGACCGAGCAAATATATTTGTAGGGTAGTTGACATATAACTTGCAGCCAAATGTGAGTTGCTGTGCCTGCTTTTGGCACTTGCTGGAAGCTGTCTGGCTACCTTAGCACAGCAGTGACTGTATGTCTCAGCAGAGCTTGTTAGGCCGGCTTCATCCTGATGCATATTGAGACATGAGCATTGTGCACTTGACACCTTTTGACTTCAAATTTAATTTGTTTCTATCTTTGGTGGGAAAACTCAGCACTTTTCAAAACCTAGCTGCACCGAGGCAGGAAGACTCACCAGGACTCAGAACGCTTCTGGTAGCAGCGTGCAGAGGCAATCACAAATGGACTATTTATAACCGCCCAGATCTGTTTAGGTAAACTGTCTGCCACTGATCTGATGTCTTAGAATCAGCTTTAGAAATACAGACATGCACAGTTTTCAAGGCTGTAGGGAAGCAGACTCAGGTAATGCCTATTTCCCTTTTGCCAGCAGGATGACTATAGCGTGGCACTGAACCTTCTGCTGGTAGAGGGTATTTCAAGGATGTCTTGGAAAAAATACTCTTATCTGAGTTGTTGCTACAGAGTGGAGGGGAAACATTGTTAAATCAAAGTTTTTTTCCTGAAGCAAAGATTCAAGATCATTGTCTGAATAGAGGGAGAAAGTGTGATGGACAGGATGGGGTCTGGAAGGCAGTGTGGGATGATCCTGGGTAGCACTTGTTGCAGGTGTATATAAACCTCACTTAAATGACTTTGAATAGCTAAAACAATACAAGGCAACCAGCTGAAAGTGAAACTTCTGCACTTTTTGCCAATCACGAGTTTGGCTTGGTATATCTTACGAATTATGTTTTTTAAATAAATTCTCCCAAATAAGGGAGTGTCCTGTAGCAGTGTTGGTTTTCTTTGTTGACATGAATACTTCGTACCTCATTCGGAGGAGTTTTGTTTTGCTTGTAATTAAGTTCAAATGGACAGTACAAATTCTTTAACTATTGTGAAGGTTGAATTTAATTAACTTCTCTTCAAAAGTGCGTAATGCTACATTAGTGAATGTGCATTTAGGGCATTTGTTAGGAAATGACATAATGGTATAAAAAGAGCTCTGGCAATGTGAGACTGAACCATCTCTCTCACTCTTAAGAGTGATATAATCTGATTATAACCTTCTATAACTCATTATAACCTTCTGATATAATCCTTCCAATCTGGTAATTGAGACAAAGCAGTAATTAAGCTAAGTGTATGAAGGCTGACCTAGGGTTTGTTTATACCTAACATGGGCTTAATTCTGATCTCACTCACTCCAGTTCTATGCCTGCATTAATATAATGGATTCTAACAGGTTTGTTTTAGAGTTATTTGAGCCAGATCAAAAGCATATTCTTGTGTCTTGTATCTACAAAAATGTTATCCAATTTCTCCTATTGTCACTTGCTTTAACACACATAGCGGTCTAAAAAGAGTTAAAAATCAACAAAATTGAGAGACATAAATGAGGTAGGATCCCATGCAGTAACTAGTGTTAGGGATAAAAAATAGGCCGTGCAGAAGGTAATCAGGCTGAATGCAAAGTTATGCCAGGAACCGGAATTGGTTTGAGGCTAAACTGTATCAAGGTTCAGGCTGGTGCTGAAATCCAGCAGTATTGCTGGACATTTTTTCTACTTTCTGACAACATTTTTTCTACTGCTTTAAACCAACATGAGTTGACTTTTTACTGGCAAATTATCAAAATTGCATACATGTGTTTAAGTTCATAAATACACATATCCCTGCAAGATTTACAATATACATGCTGAGGACCCAGTCTAGATCTGTTAGTCAGATTTGCAGCCTCAGCCTGACTTTAGAAATCCCCAATACACGTTCGTTTGCAAAAAGGCTCATGCTCACTCTCACAGGAAGCTTGCGTGTTATGGGGGAGTCAGGTAGGTGCTCTGGTGTGGACAATCAGGCAGCTGCTGCACCGGTGCCACAGCGATGTGATTCTGGCCAAAGTTTTGAGAGCTAATTTGTTATGCCTTGCCCTCTATTGCATGTATTTTAGCCACCCTTTGGAGTTTGTCATTATGTTTCTTTTTTCCTTCTTTCTTTTTTTTTCTGAGGAGCTGCAGCTCTTTGTGTGAGTACAGAAACTCTGTGTACATGGAGTAGGATGCAAGTTTGGTCCCAGGAGAATTCCTGACATTAGCTGGTATGTTTGCCCTTACCATTTTCAGCGCTCTTTCTATATCAATTCCTTGGCTCCATGGTACTGCAGGGTTAGCCAGGCAGTCTCCAGCACTACCTCTCCTGGAGACATCCACACGCTGTCTTCGGAGGTAACGGAAAGCCTCTGCTATGACTAGGACTGCATCGTGGGTCAGTGCAGACGTATACTAAAATTGATGCAAATAAAATATGGTGACAAACTGCAATCTTAGAATTGCCCCAGGTTTATCAAGTCTAGTCTTTCTCTTTGTTAAAATACTCTTAGAAGAATCATGCTTGCAAGCCTTTTTGCTCGCTCTGTCTTGCCGCAGGTGCTTTATGTAGTTTAACAATTCCACCTATTTCAATTAACAAATCAAAAATATTTTCATTTTGTATAGCATGTAGCAGCAAAATAACAAAACCAGTTATAGTTGCAAAAAGTTTAAATTTGATTGGAAGCTTGCTCATCTAAATGAGGTCACTACAAAAGTCTTCAATTCCATGCTGGCCCATACTGCTACCAATAGCAAAGGAGAGCTCCTATTTGGTTTTTGCTCAGAGTATTCTTTTTCTTTTCAACAAGATTGCCAAGACAGACAATTTTGAACTAAAGTTAACATAAATCATTTCTGTTTGGACTACAGTCCTGATTAGGTAGCATCTGTGGCAAGGAAAAGATCAGATTACTTTTCTTGGAAGACAGCTATACAAGCAAGTAATCACAAAATACACTTTAGGCATTACATCTCCTTGGTAATTGCCCATCTGCCTTCTCTTACTCCACGGTAAATCTGAGGAGGGTGGTAAGCTTTGTGTAGCTGCAACTCTTCAACAAAACCCCCAGACTCCTTAGCTACTTGCTCATTTTGCTGTCAACTTCATCCATTACTTGTTGTATGTATCTGGTGACACCCCCCAATGCTATAAATTCAGTATCACCTACGAAATGTCATAGAGGTGGTTTTTTCACATTTATGTGTTTGAAAGTTCTTCCCTCCTGGAGTGGCCCAGGCTTTGCATATGACATAATTGGTTTTCACCAGCATCACAGCACACCTATAATTTAAGGGTCTATGCACAGGAGACCATTTCAACATGTACACACTGGGAGCAACTGAATGTGCTCAGTGCGTAAGATGGATTTCAAACCCCTTGTAACCAACCCTTTGTATTTCCACAGTGTTTGTAAGAGAATGAAGAGAAGAAAAAAAGAATGTAAGGGGTATCTGCATATACTAGTGCACCTGCCCTTCCTTTGGCTGTCTGTGTGATATCGTAGAGCTCCTGGCTCCCCATGAACCTTACACTGGAGTTAGTGCCAGAAGACATGCTGCCCATGCGTGAATTAGAAAGGCGGAAATCCAAGTTTCAACTGCACGTTCAGTTACTCTCTTTGTGGATAAGACTTACTAAATTCAGAAGAAGTTACTTCTATCCTGTAGGGCAGGATAGCACAATTGGTGGTCTGTATTTCTTAAAAATGTGTATTACCTTATTGCAAGCTCTACAGTTCGATATAAAGCCTTAGGAAATCTGCACAGAACGAGGCATGTCTGCATGTGCAGATCAAGAGAATCGTATCTGATAAAAAAGAGTGCAAAGGTAGGCTTGTCAAGAAGGTTATACAGCAGCCATTCTTAGTGAGTTTTAAATGACAGCAGTTTATAAACTCTTACTGTGTGTGGCGGGGGGTGGTTCCCGCTCCTGTATCTGGGTACAGACGATCTTTTGTCCTGCCCACCTTTACCTCTTCCTGTGATGCTTTCCAGTGATCACCCTCTCCTCTTTTATTAAGTTAACAAAGGATATACGTCACATTCCACACAACAATATAGAACCAGATAGTAATTTTAAGGTATTTGTTCTTGTATGAAAAAAATCTTGTAATAGCTGTCCAATCTAGCACTATGTAAAAAACGCTGATAATTTTTTCAGCAGACTGCGTCAATTGTCAGTAACCTTAATGCAGTCCCTTCCAAGTCATGCCAAGAGAGCTATCTAATTTTCTACTTTATTTGAATTCTACTTATAAATGCATGAGCACGCAAAGAGAAAAAAGAGAGAGAGAAGGGAAAGGCTGATAAAATACAGAATAAATTAAACATCAGGGCTTTAATCTCTAGGCAATTTTATTTCCTAATCAAAAATATCGTACATCAATTTTTAAGTATGCTTTTTGTCTGATTGACAAATACCGTGCACATTTCTATAATGAGCGATACATTTGTGAAAAAGTAATGTAATCTTTGTGTTTGTACCATACACTTAAGATTATTTTTTAAGGATGGAGAGTAATTTTTCCCTCAAGGTAAATTGCTTTCAAGTGGAATAAAATCTTCCCAGGTTAACTTTATATATTTCAGAGCTTTACTTATCTTCACCTCTGCATCACTGCTAGGAAGCTTCAGAAAGCAGGCCTAGGTCCTAATCAACAGGGAACAATACACTAATCCGAGCTTTGTGGCCCTCTGTTTGCCTTTCTTTGCTTCCTCTGAAATGCCAGCAAGGCTGTGGGATGGCATGGGATTAAGATAATTTTCCTTCCCCATAGAAATCACAAGATCACAAGGATGGCAAAGTATGCCTCCAAATGGCACTGGCCTTCTGGCAGCAGAACTGCGTAACTGGTTCCTATTCTGCCTGTAGTCCCACACAGTGCTACCGCCTACCCTAGTATCCCCCCATGCATTAGACTGCACTAGATTTTTCTTTTCTAGCTAGTATTTTACGTGTCCCTGAGTTTTGTCTTACTAATATCAAGACATTACTCTGGTTTATCAGAGTAATTTTGGATTCAAAATCTGTTCATCAATTTGCATGTGTCCCTCCAAATCAAGCAGGAAAGACACGAACTGTCTCATCATGGCTGTGGTTCTTAGATAGGTTTGGCTTCCTTGAGACAGTCAGTATACACGATGTGGAGGACTGGACTCCCAGGAGTGACAGAGTTTAAGGTCCTCTCATCCACCACCAGTCCCGGGTTTTATTCACCTATGCGTATTGATGAAAAAGAACAGGCCTTACCAAAAGAGGAAGAGAAAGAAGGAATGTATTAGGAATATTAATAATATGCAGTGGTCCTAGAAGATTTGATTACTTCAATCACTGGACAGAGTGCATTCCTTGATTGGACAGTGAATTGTATCCCTCTCTGCTATAGAAATGCTGAGGCAGAAAAAAATCTGGGGGAGATATTAACACGTTGTGAGTCTCTTAATAACAGCAGCCTTTAGTTCACCCAATGTATGACAGTTTTGATGAACCTGGGACTTCCATTCAAAAAAATCTGGAAAATCTTATTGGTTGCAGATATAATATCCAGAGTGTTTAAGTAAAGGACGATGGTGCAAAATACAGGGTTAGATTATGAGGGCAACTGTCAGCAGTGACTAGGAGGTGGCAGTGGCTCCTCAGTGAATCTAAAGCTACTTTATTTTGCACAAGAAATTCTCTATTAGCATTAAAATTGACTAGTAACCCACAGTTGGCATCTGAAAACTAACCTAACTAGCCCCCACCCACACCCCAAGAATAACTCAAGAAGTTCAAGTTAAAAGTTTTTACATGCACTGCACAACGACAGGATTTGCAAAACCAAGCCTTTGTCTCTGAGGAACTCCCACTGCGGTGGGCACTTGTATCCAACTAACAGCCTCTGCCTCCTTCTCTCTTCTGGAAGGGCAGTGAAAGTTGCAACATATTCTAATCAGGGATCTGTGTCATACACATGCACACACCTGGGGTTAAAACCCCCCAAATAATTGTTAAAAGCAACTCATAGTCTCCATCACTGTCAGGGTAAAATAAATACCTTTAATGGTGAGTTTTTGGCTTCAGGGAATTCTCTTTCATCGAGCCTCACCCAGCGTTGTAGAAACTGTTGAACCATTGGGTTTTCATTATTAACAATCTGGAATCCAGTGACGTTGGCACCTCCATGCATTACTCTCTCCAGAACAATGTCTGTGAAACCCTGGGAGGACACATGTAGAAAACAAGAATCATTGCCATCCAAAGTCCCTTTTCTTTGGCTCAGTTTTACCTGCTATAAGCATAGCACAAAAGAAACTGATTAATTTCCCTCTTGTTAGCTGAAAATATTCTACCAAGGAGACAATTGCTGTCACAATTGGGATTGTGATAGCGGCATAGAATAGAATTTAAAATGTCTTCTTGTTCAGACCTTTGCAATAGAAAACTGCCCTACTGGGTTGTGGCAATATGGTACATAATATTCACTGGTCAGAAAGTAAACAGTGGGGAAACTTAAAGTACTATTTCCTCTTTTCTCCTCATCGTGGTGAAAACTGGTCAAAGACACCAATCCCATTTGCACAGCAAAGTGCGCATGAAGGTTCAGCGCGGGGAGCAGAAAGCCACTTAACACCCATATTGTTCTGTGGAGGCAAGGCACACACCTCCTTGCTAGGCAGTTCTCCGTCACAGCATTACTTAGCATTTCACTTGCAGACAGAATGGTATGATTCTCTCCCACTGTTGTTATTTATACCTGAGGCAGTAAATTGGTGTCTTTTTGATTACTATGACTTGATTGCAGTCACGTTTCTCTGAATGTCAATGGTTACACATGCTAAAAGGTAATCCAGAATAAGAACCCCTGTATTTCTATGAACAGGCTAATCAGTGAGATCATGACTGGTTCTTAAAATGCAAAATGACACATCTTAAAGTCATACAGTACTTACACTCAATAAGGGTATTTTAAAATTTGTCTTTTCTGCTTTAATCACACCAAAACATGGATACAGAGAATCTTCTAGTAAGTGGGATTGCTAACTTTATAAAGTGTGAGTTTTGGAAAAACATTTTTCCACTCACAGTAGACACAGAAGCCAAAAATTAGTCTTGCTGCAGGATCAATTACAATATAACACTTTTTCTAAGGAACTCTAACAGATGGTGTTTCAAAGGCATCATGAACATCCCTGAAAGTCAATTCTAGAATCCAGAAGAAGCTCTGATACAGATAAAAATGTACTGTCTTGTCCTGATAGGTCAACACATACATGGGCAACACCCTACACTCTGAAATATGAAAGAACAGCTGAACAGCCTGGCTGGTTTACTTGATGGAATTGTTCTAATTTTCAGGTTTTTACCACTTATTTTATACACAAATATGCTATAATTATTTTTCCTGGAGTGCTTATATTTCAAGTATGTTACATAGAAGATTATGGTTATCAAATGTCTTATTTATAAATAAGGGTAAAAATTAGAGGGAAAACATATAATTAAATTATTGTAAAATTAGTAGAGGATATGAGCTGCTTAGACAAAAGAAAGACCATAATTGAGTACAAATGACTATAACATACCAGTTCTAGTATTTACTGAAGTAATTTCTCAAAATCCAAGAACTCATCCACGCATTTCGTCTTTTGCTGAATAAAGTTGCCACAACCTGAACAGAATATATTACCCTCTACACCTTAGCTATACTTGTAATGAAGAAAAGTTCTTACCAGGTTAGCTAACATGTAGTGATAGCCTCTAGAATGTTTGCCAAGGATTACAACCTGTGTGAAGAAAAAAAATGACATATTATTCGGTTGTAAGAGGATGATTCGTAACTAGTGGAAAACACCCGAGAACGAACATTTTGGTAACCCTCTATGCCCAATCCATGGGCAGCACGAGTATTACAGACCTGTGGCTTTACAGACACGATGCAGTCATTTGTGTTTTTAAAACACACAGGCAGAGTACAAAGGAGAGTCACACAAGGCTGAGAAGACTCCGCTTGCAGAGGTGACCTTACCTGGCAATCTCACCCTTGTGATCACAGTGTCTCCCCTGCTGACCGGGTTAATTTGAGTTACCAGTTCAAGTATTTCTGCTCTGAAATGAGGTGACACTAGATCTGTTTACTTTGTTCCTTGTTTGTGGAGTGTACGAGAGGCGGGTGACACAGCCCAGCCACTCACTGTGTTTATTACACTGTACCAGCGCAGCGGGGCTCGGTAGGCTCCAGGTCGTACAGGGTTTCCTGCCATGAGAACCCTGGCCAAGCCTTTTCATATATGAATGCTTAAAGTTAAATTCCTAAAGTTATAAGCAGTGACCTTCATTGCCTTCTGACAGCTTTCAAAAGGCCTGAAAAATTGTCGCTTCCAGTGCATCTAAATGGCCACATCTGACCGTACATGTTTAGCCAAAATTTACACGAAATGTCATGTTGCACATTCCACTAACCCAACATCTCCTGCCCTCCCTGACCCCACTTGGGCATCTCTCTGTACAAATGGAGTCATTAAATGGAATCACTACGAGACAAAAAAGCAGCAGGATGGATTCTGTAAGGGTAACGGGGAGGAGTGGAGGCAGCACTGTCTGGCAAGCCTGAATTCCGCCACCCTGTGCGCTCGTCCCCACTCCAGTAATACTGTGCTTTTGCAGAAAGGAGGAAAAAACACAGTTCCCATGTCTATGTAGCTGGCTGCTGGCTCACCAGCAATACCCCTTGTGCAAGATTATGCCACTGCATTTAGCACTAGTCTCTTGCCTTCAGATTATAATCTCAGTAACATCCATCCAGTCCCACAGCCATCAGGTGAAAAAATGTCCAGCATTTAACAATTTAATTATTAACTGTGGTGATTACGTATGTGTCAGGACAGAATCAAGCTTACCCAGACTTGCTGGGTTAAACTAATAAAAGTTAAAAATAGCAAACACAACGCTGGCGATACACCACAGGTGTATCACTGACTATACCTATGAGCAGCTCAAGTGAACAGATGATGCTTTTTGATGAAGAATCATCTGAAAATCTATACATACCACACTAACGTACTTCTCCATGGTCACAGATAAATGCTCCAAATGCCATACTCTACGAGACACCTTTTCAATATGACCACTTACGTCTTTGCTAAGAACAGATGACATTTGAGTCATTGACTTTAGATATACTGCTGAGCCTGCTGAAGTTCTTGATTAAATTATTAAGTTCCCAATTGCCTCTTTGGGTTGTCTTGTCCTTAATAGATGCCATTTCTTTTAAATTCACATTTAATTCTGTAGGAATTTGCATACTTCCAGCAGTCTGAAAATAAATTGCTGTTCAGGTCCTCTTGAGAACTGTATGTACACTCTGTTGGTAGAAAGCATCTGCTTTCCTACACTCACATTTGTTTTCTATGGAAATGTGCAGGCTTCCTTCAGATCATCTGGTGCGTGTGCTATTTGCATACTGAATTCTCTGTATGTTTTAATTTCACCTTAAAGGCAGCGATCTACTTTTAAAGGGTTAGAGACAAAGAACTTATTTAACAACAACAATACTCTTTGTCGTTTTAACCTTAATAACAAATAAGAAAGCTTTTACATTTCTATCCAGGAATGTGTTTATTTAAGAGAAAAATACGACAGATGAAATCAGCGGCTGTAAGAAAAACATACATGGAGCTGCTACAGGCAACAGCAGCAATACTGCAAATAGGAAATGTAGGACTCATTAGCATAGATCAGACTCAACTTCCATCTCATCTGTTGTCATGTCTCCAAAATGACCAGAAATAATTCTGTTTAGTCCCTTATAGAGGTCCAATGTACTACAGTCAAGCTTTAATCCATAAAGCATCTTTCAGAATTGACCTGCCAGTATTTCTGCTCACACAATCAACAACGTTAGTTCATAATTATTTAACTGGATCTTAGCATTGTTTTTAAAATTCACTATACATGCTGTCCTAAATCTTAACAAGCACAACTCTCCTCCTTCCTCACTTTCTACCCTCTACCAACTATCCAGCATCTTGAATGGAGCTGCTGGATTAGCGAGCCCAGAAGAAAGAATCACAGACATCAGTGTTACTCCTAGGGGAGCGAAGGGATGGATAAAGCTTTTTTATGAAGAAGGAAAACAGGAGTATAACAAATAAATCTCATCAACTGCTTGTATATTGTGAAGCTTATATAGAAAGTGGCATATTGAATAGTGGTGGTGAATAGAAAGCCAGGATTACAGGACAAGGATTTCACAGAGCTACATGTCTTTGGTAAGGTTCACTTCTGAGACTTAATACTGCTTTCACCTTGACTGAAAGAAAAGCTTATAAGATTCTATACTGAACAAAGGAGGAGGGAGAAAAATGGCTGGAAACTATCATGAATAATTCAGACTTCTGATCCCACATAATTCTTGCCTTGTAGATAAAAAGATCGTAATGTCAGGTTTGATAGAGAATCAAATAAAGTTTGTATTTTTAATTAACTCTCTGGATATTTCCAATTAATTAAGAGAAAATCTAGAGGGAACATAATTGAAATGTATCTGGTTTTAAAATAAAAGTCAAATCTGCTGGCCAGCACCGGGCTTACTGAAAGTACAGACCTATATGCCAGACTTGAGAAATTAGGTCAGCATTGCCAATTTTAGTTTTTCATTTGCCTGAGGAAGCTATTTTTTGAACGAAAGCATAAAGACAACTTGGTTTCCACTGCATCAATCATCATGATAACAAATAGGCAACTACAATTTTTTGCCTTAGCTTTTACATTTTTCTTACAGTTTTGGAAGACAGCATTATAGAGATTAACTGGCTAATATTAAATTGGTATGGAGCATTGAGATATTTCTAAAGTAGTAATGATGATTCTCTCATGATGTAGTTCAAAGGCCACAAAACACCTAAGAGGAAGGGCAGTGACGAGAAAGCAAAATAACTTTAATACTAACCTCACAATTACTCCGTTACCTTTTGACTTACTCCCTACTCAAATTACAACCACAGCTAGTTCCTGGTCTAGAACATGGATCTGGGTTTTTTGACCATGAAAATTAAATGTTGGAGTTAAGGGTGAAGGGAACATTATGAGGAGATTGGAGAACTCTTAGATGAAAGTCAAGGCAAGGAAGCCATTTTAAACAGTAGTGATGGAGACAGCTCCGGCGGCCTCACTGGAATATTTCTCCAAGGACTTGACGAACAACTAGAATGGTAAGAACAGAGTGTGTAGGTGAACAGTAGTAACGGACCAGAGGCAAGGAAAGAATGGGTTAATGAAAGACAAGACTCTGTGGGCTCAAAAGAAATCAAGCGATGGAAGAACAGTGCAAGTTTTGTAGGTGGGGCTGAGCAGTCATATTTTGTCTTTTAAAAATATCAATGGTTTGTCTCTGATTCATAAAAGGGAAAGATGATTTTTTTTTATGGATGGAGGAAATCACAGAAGAGGTGAGGCTGGCAAGGGTCTCTAGAGATTGCCTATTCCAACCCCCTAGCTCAAAGCAGGGGCAGCTAGAGCAGGCTGCTTAGGACCGTGTCCAGTCAGGTTTTGAATATCCCCAAAGATGGAGATTCCACAAGCTCTCTGGGCAGCCTGTTTCAGCGCCTGACCACCCTCAGAGTAGAAGTTATTTTTCTTATGTTTTAACAGAATTTCCTGCATTTCAGTTTGTGCTCTTGCCTCTTGTCTTGTCACTGAGCACCTCTGAGACTCTGCAACTCAGTGAGACTCTCCGAGAAGAGTCTGGCTCCATCTTCTTCATTCCTTCCCATCAGGTATTTGCAGACATTATTAATATTGCCCCTGAGCTTTCTCCTCTCCAGGCTACGCAACCCAATTTTTCTCAGCTTTTCCTTGTATGTCAGATGCTCCGGTCCCTTAATTGTCATAGGGGCCCTTCACTGGACTTGCTCCAGGATGTCCATGTCTTTCCTATGCTAGTGAGCCCAGAACTGTACACGGCACTTTAGATGCAGCCTCACCAGTGCTGAGTAAAGGGGAAGGATCACCTCTATTGACCTGCTGACCATGCTAATCCTGTGCAGCTCAGGATGCTGTTGGCCTTCTTTGCTGTGAGAGTGCAGTGCTGGCTTGTGCTCAACTTGTCTGCCAGGACCCTAAGATCCTTCTCTGCAGAGCTGCTTTCCAGCCAGGAAGCCTCTACCCAGTCTGCACTGGTGCATGGAGTTATTCTTCATGGGTGCAGGGTTTTGCATTTCCCTTTCTTGAACTTCATGAGGTTCCTCTCTGTCCACTTCACCAGCCTGTCAAAGTATTGCAGCACAGCCACCTGGTGAACTAAACACTCCTCCTAATTTGGTATCATCTGCAAACTTGCTGAGAGTGCACTCCATCCCATAACCTTCAGATCATTAATAGAGAGGTTAAACTGTATTAGCCCCAGTACCCTTAGGGTACTCCAAATAGTAGCTAGCCTCCAGCTGGCCTTTGTGTTGCTGATCACAACCCTCCAAGCCCAGCAGTTCAGTCACTTTTAAATCCACCTTACGGCCTCTGTGGGCTTTGATTTTAAAGAGTCATTGAAAAATACAGGAGGATATGCTTGCACTTTTACCTAGAGAAGCAGCTATCATGATTTTGGCAGCAGTGAAAAGAAAACTACCATGTCCAATTAATACCTGTTTGGAGTTCATCTTCCCTTCATTTGAATCCATTGCCATCTGGTCAGTTTAGTCTGTTTAATCAAAGTTATTTATCATCCTTTATTTACAAATGAAAAAAGAAAAAAACAAATTAGATCACAAAAGTGCAGACTACCTCATCT